GCTTCGTGATCTTGACGAGTATTTGATTGACACTACTGACTGCTCTCGTAATAAATATCCGGATTGTGGAATTGTTACTCTTGGAGACTTTAACAACTTTGATTTACATAATCTAGCATCCAACCATAGCTTAAAGCAAGTTGTCCATTTACCTACCAGAGGGTCTGCTATCCTTGACCTTATTGCAACCAATTTGCATAACTTGTACGAGAAGCCGTATATACTGGCTCCGCTTAGCACTTCGGATCATCACTGGCTTCCTCTTACTAAGGATGCCATAAATACCCTGACTCCCAAACCTAAGCCCATAAAGCACTTAGTGAGACGCTATCCTCGCTTTGGAATTGAGGTTTTCGGACGTTGGGCTTGCTCAAAAAATTGGTTTGACGAACTCAGCGATAATCCAGGGACGGATGAATTGGTTACTTCCTTTTCATTACAAGTGACCAATGCTCTTAATAACATCTTCCCACTAAAGACAGTGAAATTACATCACACCGACAAACCTTGGATAACCCCTTCAATCAAGCAACTTATTAAAGTTCGTCAAAAAGCCTTCCATAGAGGCAGGGTGTTAGCCAGGTGGCCGTCCGACCGTCCTATGGACGGCCACTTCTGAATTTGGACTGCTAAATTTTAATGGACGGCCATGGACGGCCTTAGGGAATATTTTCTTTAAAGAGCAACCTACAAGCTTTGTAATATTTCTTGAATACTTCGCGCCATATTTTTGTAGAACGCGCCATGTTTTTGTAACCATTTTGATGCTTCTCGCATGAAGTATCAAGAAGAAGAATGTGAAACCGCTGTTTTAAAAAACAGCAATCTCTTTATCGCTCCAGCGCAACGTTACAGTTACGGTATTGATCATACCATACGTGTGCGTTTACTAATTTAACGACGGAAATGTGCATCTAAAAGTAAAACGTTCAACGAATTAAACACCACAATTCCTCAACAATAGAAAATTGCGGCCACACCCAGAAACATATGACCAAGCCCACAAAAATATGTTGCCACGCCCACAAAATTATTTTGGACGGCCACCTTTGAAATCCTGGCTAACACCCTGTATAGCCAAACTATTGAAATGCAAAGTGCAATCAGAAATAAAACAGAGGAAAGAAATGTTTTATAAGGATAATATTCAGCATCTTCGTAAAGATGATTGTCGAAAGTGGTGGAATGCTGTAAATAAAATGTCCGGAAGATGAAGAAAGAACACGAGCTTCAGTCTAGAGCGTGACGGGAAAATCTTATCTGATTCCGAATGGTGAACAGTCTTAACAGTCTGTATACATCTGTTAATGCAGATAACCCTCCACTTAATTGCTCAGTACTACCGGCATTCCTACCCGCTCCTGACACGGGACTAGCTAACAGTCGTGGGTCGTGGGTCGTGGGTAGAATGTCGTGGGTCGTGGGTAGAATGTCGTGGGTCGTGGGTAAAAAGTCGTGGGTCGTGGGTAGAATGTCGTGGGTCGTGGGTAAAAAGTCGTGGGTCGTGGGTAAAAAGTCGTAAGTCGTGGGTAAAAAGGCGTGGGTCGTGGGTAAAAAGGCGTGGGTAAAAAGGCGTGGGGCGTGGGTAAAAAGGCGTGGGTCGTGGGTAAAAAGGCGTGGGTCGTGGGTAAAAAATCGTGGGTCCCGAATAAAAAGTCGTAAATTCCAAGCAAAATATTTCCATATATTTACCTTTCTCCCTTTGGAATGCGTATTTTTTTTTCTTCTGAGGCTTTCCCAAACTATGCCCAAATGTGCATAGCTTAGAGCGCGTTAAGGCCGGGTTTTTGATATCGGCAGATCCGTTTATAAATATTGTAACCAAGTGTGGATGAAACAGTTCAACTTCAAGCCCCATATAGCTCAAATATTTGGACGTTGTAATCTTATAGACAGATAAATATTGTAATTCTTCAATACGAAATAGTGCTGTCAAGCCTGTCATAAATGGCTAAATTCTGACATTCAGGGCTTCACTAATTTGTTGATCCATGTTCTTACAGTAATAAGCGAGAAATTTCCACTTGGACAGTGTTAATTTAATGCAATGTCTGTTAATTTACTAGGGAAAAATAAAAGAAAGAATTTGAGAGATTTCACTTAAATACATACCATGATGTATACATACCAAGAAGTAGTGAATCTAGTGTCAAATTTATCATGATGTGATTTGTATTTTCTAATAAGTTACAAATATACAGTCACATAGTGACACATACAGTATTTTGTAACATTCATGCTTTGACTTATCTTTCAGTAGGCTTTTGTCGGATTATTTTACCGTAAGTTTGATAACAGAGAGGTATACTTCTACATATTTCTTGAGCATCAAGTTTCAGCGAAGTCAATGGCAAGTTGGAATTTGGAAATTTCACAGCGCTTATTTAATAACAACCGGAGTAGCATTGTTTACATGCAAGGTTTGTTCCGTTTGTAGTTTGCGATATTTCAGAAATCGTTTAGGATAGACTTCAGCAGTTTTAAATAACAGCAACTTTGGTTGGTCTAGAGATATATTTTCTTGTAATGTTTACGACGATGTCGGTAATATCAACAACAAAATTATCGATGCATCACTATTTTGCAGACCGGCCATCTTCGAATTCTTTGTATAGTATATACATGAAGACCATATATAAGTCGAATGTCATATTATTTCATTAATTAAATGGTTAGCTATACTCCGCAGTTCCATATATAGCTTTGAAAACATATGATGCCATTGCCGGTTATAAAAATTTGACTATAATATCGAGTGGATAGTGCTACTCAGCTTTCGTACATGTGGCCTTGAGCCATACATATTCTTATTGAAGAATTGCAGTAACTAATTTATCTGTCTATAAGATTATAACGTCCAAATATTTGAACTATATGGGGCGTGAAGTTGAACTGTTTCATCCACACTTGGTTATAATATTTATAAACCGATCTGCCGATATCAAAAACCCGGCCTTAACGCGCTCTAAGCTATGCATATTTGGGCATAGTTTGGGAAAGCCTGAGAAGAAAAAAAAATACGCATTCAAAGGGAGAAAGGTAAATATATGGAAATATTTTGCTTGGAATTCACGACTTTTTATTCGCGACCCACGATTTTTTACCCACGACCCACGCCTTTTTACCCACGATCCACGCCTTTTTACCCACGACCCATGCCTTTTTACCCACGACCCACGCCTTTTTACCCACGACCCACGCCTTTTTACCCACGACCCACGCCTTTTTACCCACGACCCACGCCTTTTTACCCACAACCCACGCCTTTTTACCCACGACCCACGCCTTTTTACCCACGACTTACGACTTTTTACCCACGACCCACGACTTTTTACCCACGACCCACGACAATCTACCCACGACCCACGACATTCTACCCACGACCCACGACCCACGACTGTTAGCTAGTCCCTCCCAGAGGGGGCTGCAGTAATCAAAGTAGGGCTGCACAATAGCATTGTACATCAATTTTAG